GATAGTCCTCATCTTTCACTTTTATTGCTATCATGCTGGAGCCAGTCTTCATCATAGGACCATGATGAGATGTAGTAGGAGAGAGTTCCTTCCAATTGAAGGTATCAACATTAAAACTGTATAAAGTACTATGTAATATTTATCAGTAACTATTATGTTTACCTGTATAAACTATTATGAAAACATTTATCATGACCACAATCTCCTCCAAAAAAGAATATTTCATTTCTAATGACAGCAGCAGCACATCCATAGACACCAAGTGGAGGGTCACCAGTGGTAGGCTTTTGCACCCACTCACCAGTTGGTACATGACAGACCTCCACTACAGAACACATTGATTTCTTCTTCTCATTATTGTGTACTCCAGGGAGATCATCCTGGGACCCACCCCACATGTACAGGTAGTCTCCTACCTGTACTGTAGAGTGATAGTCCCTCTTCACTGGTTGATAGACTATAGATAACAAGAGGACACAGTAATATAGTGAATAGTTATAATAAGTAGAGGATACAGAGGAATAAAGTAAGGGAGAGAATAAGAAAGAAAGAAAAGAGAATAAAGTTACTTTCTCACCTTCGAGCTCACCTTCCATCTTCACAACACCAATGCAACACCATCATCACCATGGCAACACAAAAACACGCAGTGAGCCACGCCCTAAATTGACTGAAGATAATTTACTTTCCAGCATTCATTCATGACTGATGTTTGCCTAAACTATAAATTATCAGTAGCTAGCAGCCATTGTCAAAATGAAAGCAGTACTATCACCAACAAAAATCAGCAACAATTCCAGTTCTAGGACAGCATTAACTATTAACTCATATTATTATTCAAACCGTTGGCACACTCATGGGATAAAACACACAAACCACTGACCACAGAAAGTGGTAAACACATAATCAAATAGTCATATATAACACACAATAAAATAATCATCTGTCAAATTGTGAGTATATAGCTACATGTATGTCATCATCTGAAATGGACGAGGAACATATCTAGCTACTTTACAATAGTCATTGTAGATCTTCTTATTCTCTTCCGATGTGTACTGTGGGTGGAGTTATTAGAAAACTGTTGTCCGTACTGTAGGAAGAGGTTGGTTTCCAGAGGAACTTCTCTTCTTGGACCTTCTTTGCTGTGAGTGTTAGGTCTTTATCAGTTTGTGGTTCAAGAGGAATGCAGGATAACTGGTACAACCTGTCAAACCTGTTTTAGAGAAACAACATTTTAAATTTTTGACAAAATAATTTAAAGATAAAAAGGACTCGTAAGTCAAAAAATTGTAATCAGAATCAGCTTAAACTTTCTACATAGCATAAGGCGACACCAGACAATAGTTATAGTGATACATGTTCTCTGGATAAATCTTGAGTGTTTTAAAGGTTAAACTGTTTCATTACTTCCCAATTCTCTCAGTAGTATAATTGTTATTACCTTTCATAAGTCTTCATGTCCTCTTTTGAAGGATCCCTACACTCAAACCCATAGTAATCAATAGAACTGGGGAGACCATTGGGAGTACAATAAGAAGTGAAGGAGTGAGTGTTAGTAGTGACATTAGAGTCTTGTTGTTTGGGTGAGTACTGATCACCAGTCCTCTCATCCTCAGGCTCACTGTCTGATGAATACTCATCAGCTTCTGCTGGCTCAGTCTGTGGTATACCAACACTGAATCCTCTTTTAGCAGCCATCTTGGAACTACTGGAGCTATAGAGGGAGGGAGAGGGAGGGGGAGGGAGGGAGGGAGAGTAACCTGTAACCATTACTACACATTAATGAACCATTAACTAAAACTACTCAATCATAAATCAATAGATTACACTTAAAATGGTCGTAACTTGAAAAATTAATGTTGGAATCAGCCGAAATATAAATTTATTAGTTAAAAATTTCTGTCATCACCCATCACCCACCTCTAACAGTTTAACAGCAATACTTCACTATAATACAATGAATAAGTGAATATGTAAATGTACATGTACAGTGTATACTATTATGATAATTCATTGTCTCTAGCTATTTCCTTTGTGAGTTGGTAGTTACTATATTACTGCTTATCACAACCAACACCTGCCACTATCACTATTATACTCACACACACCTACTCACACACACAGGACAATGTTCATAACACAGAAATTACGTGACTTATCAGAATCAGCTCAAATTTCTACACAGCATAAGGACATCAATATGTATCAGTAAATGCAATAAAAATTGGGGGAAGATTTCGGAGCTATTTTTAAAAACTT